CCCCCTTATTGAAGGTGTTCCGCCGCTACTGAAATAGCGTCTCAGGGGCAGAGAAGATTTACTGTCACTCGTCTCACAGTGGATCGTCACCGCACGGCAGAGCGTCAGCGTCACTCGTGAGACCGTCACCGTAGCTGCCAACTGGACAATGTGGACGCTGCTCCGAGGAAATGTGTGTTTGATTTTGGTTGCAATTGATTCGTCACATTTTTATACATCCTACTCATTAGATACTCCTACTCACTATACATATTACATGCATTATACTCACAACTCACACGTATGCTTATTACCTAATCATTAGATCCTAGGTCTACCGGTAACCCTTCAGGAATGTTGAATTTAGCTAGGTAATTGAGCCGACATGATAAATCCGTGGTGGTTTGAATGGAAGTTAAGCCTTAGAAGCATTTTAGGTATGACCATCAAGTGAGCAGGAGCAATGGAAATGCAATACCCTTTTACTTATATTTGGAAGGTGTGAGTGGGTTTCTATTCCCGCACTGTAGCTGATATTAGACGCTCCTATAAAATGCTGAGTGCATTTATAACTGCGTTGCAGCAATTCCATATTACGTAATCTGCCAGCTGCTGTGCCATTCCACCAGCTCAGTCAGCGAAATATCATGCTACTGTTCAAAGGATGTTGTAAGATGATCAGCTTAGGGGGAACAGTGTTGAAATTGAAGCAGCAGTTAAAGCAGTTGAAGCAGGGTAAGAAGTAAGAAATTTGAGCACTCATTTATGCGAGAATGGTTGAAGCACCTTTAAACATTATCTTCACACATCATCAATGACATACAAGCTGAAGTTGAGCTTTCCATATCACTTCGGTTAACAGGCATCAAACTGCAAATGGTCGCTTACTTACTTGTTTGGTCACGTTTGTCAAAATTGCAATTTTTTCTCCCCCCATTTATGGCTTTTGTTCATCATTATATCAAGCACGACATTCAGCTCGGTATGTAAGTGCGTCGTTACTTTTGAATGAGACCCACGTTATCGTTGATTCATTAGTATAAATTTTCGACTCGTGGTCGAAAACCTTGATTTTTATGACATTTTTTTCTTTAAACAAATTCGAGTGAAAAGAGCTCTCATCCAGTGTCATATCAGCTGGAAAAAAGCTTTTGTGGAAGACAGGCACATGCTTACAAAGTTGGAAAAGGCTCAATATTCAATGCAATTTTGTGCCTGAATTCATGGAAATTACATGAGGCAGTGAAACTGCAGGGGATTCTGACAAGAAAAAGGCTCAAAACGGACAACTTATCAGCCGATCGAAGATGAAAGAGGCAATGCTGGATTGGAACGACGTCCATCATAGCTGACGGGCGCTATTTCGGGCTGCTCTGGGCCGGCCGGGCCGGAGCGGACGGGCCGTTTGGGGACCACTGTGGGTCAGCGGTCCGATGGCCCGGGGGCACGCCACGGGCCGGCGCCGGCCGTCTCCCTGCGCCGCTCGCGTGACCCGGTCTCGACCGGCCCGGGCAGCGGCGATCGGCCCGTCCGTTTTGGATAATGAGTGGCGTTTGAGGCCACTTGTGCCGTGCTAATGACGCTCTTGCGGCCGTCAGTGTCGCCGTAAGCTGAACCGTTGGCCCATCGACCGGCCGAAATGTTGGAGCCGGGCGAACGAGAGACCAGCATTAGCGCGTGACCTGGCCGGATTGATTGGAAATCACGGCCGTAGATCAGCCGGCGCCCCGTGCCAGCCCCTGGGACTGTGGTCCACGCCCGCGCGCCGCACGCTAATGCGACGGCCAACACCGGCGTCCTTGGGCGGTAGCGAATCTGAGGCGTGCTTTGATAGCAGCGAATCTGTGACTTCCTTTAGCGACAGACCCGTAGCGTCTTTGGCGACGCATGCTTTGGGGACAGACCCGTGGCGTGTTTTGGCGACAGACCCGTAGCGTCATTTAGCCACAGACTCGTGGCGTTCTCTATAAGCGGACCCGCAACGTCCTTTTACAGCGAAGTCGTGTCGTCCTTTGGTAACAGACCCTCGGCGTCCTTTGGTAACAGACCCACAGTGTCCGTTTACGGCGTACGGCGAACTGGTGTCGTCCTTTATCGGCGGATTCCTGCCGGAGTGTTAGGTTCACGGCGCGGCGCCATTTTACCGGCAGTTTAGCCACTAACTCGGCTCGAGTGTGCTCGATGTGTCGGTTACGATACCGCCGAGGTGCCTTTCAGCGGCGGTGAACACTTCAACGGCTTGGTTCTGCATTCTGGGCGACAGCCAACTGTACAGTTTCTGTCTGAAAATGACATTAAAAGTGCTCGAAGTATTTTATATAAAAGAGGTTGAGGTAGACTTTGAAGAAATGAAACGACCAAAGATGATAGTTTTGGTATGATATAGTGCAGAATGATGGTGTTTGGTGGAAAGATGGTTCGATATCATGACCCAATAAATCGGTGAGATGCAGATTTGATTTTCACACGATCCGGAAGCTTTGGTGCATCATGGCAATGGGTGTTTTTATCACAATGCTGAAATTCTTGTTTCAAATGAGAGCACACTCAAATTACAAAGTCAAAGGTGCATCAACCGGACCTAAGCAGCGTGAATGACACAGCTACAGAGCACGCCTTGATCACAGTTTTAAAATGTCCAGAGAGCATCTTTAATCTTCAGCTGGGTTGAATACCAACTGTCTCAGTGCCCTTTCTGTCTGTGACCCAGATCAGATGCCCAGCTGGACAGTTGGACAGTTGGGACGGCTGCTTATCCTCGCTCAGGGAGACAAGTGTTTATATTGCCCACCATTGCATGGGCAGCCGTATGGAGCTCGGCTTATCCCGAACTTTATGAAGTGGTTGGTATGAAATTGAACATTGAAGAATTGATATCGATAATGAAAACATTTTACACAATATTAATGAACTTAGAGCAGCGAAAGTGGCGGATGTCGTGCCATCAGATTCACAATAAATAACTAAATAGTTGGCAGAAAACGGAAATCGTCCGACCTCACAAGTCACATTCATCACCTTTGGCTGTTTTTATATCTGTCTCTTGGCCACGTGAGTCCATAGGTCATGACATAATGAAAATAATGAAATGCAGGAATGATTACATAAATCATTTGCCAGCATTTCTTTTTCAAATTCACATCTCACCACGTCATGGCGTGTTCCATAGTGGAAACTCGTGCCGTCTCATTCGGCTCCGTCGATATTTCTTATCGTGACAGCCACGCGGCGGTCTGGCGGCCTCGCCTCGTCGTCCGACGCTCGGGACGCGCAGAACTCAATCAACTATGCATTAGGCATGGGCGAACAGGCCCGACCACCTGAATACTGCACTCAACAGCGAAACATTAGTGGCCACGTGTTCGGCCGCAGCCTTTGTCGCTAACGCGATCCGCCCCCGCGCTGCCGCCGTCGGCACTCGGGAACCAACACGAGGACATCCGGCGCCCGCGGACACCGCGCGCACGACCCCATAAGGTAAACATGGCCTGTGCCGCCACGAGACCGGCAGGTCCGTCAAACTACGGTCACCGTCAGTATCGTTACGCCGGTGACGGCTGCCATGGCCGGTCTAATGTAATTAGGACGTCTGGCGGGGTCCGACCGGCGTCATTCATCACAGCTGGATGACAGCGGCAATGTAACGGATCGGTCACAGGCTCGGCGACGGCCCCAGGCACACACCGCTGCCTATGTATGAACAGGTGATCAGTGACGTCACGTAACGCAGTCAGTGACGTCACCTGACTCTAAGGACAGACGATGACATGTCTGACGGACGGTGGTGGACGAAGCATGATGGCGTGAGATCTCGAGTGGCGTTATATGAAGTCGCCGGCGTCACTTCAGACGACAATGCATCTGACTCTGCAGTTTGCAGTCTAGGATTGTAAGGTGCTTCTTCGTGACGCATTATTTCTGACATCGGCGCATGCTTCAGGTGCTATCATACCAATAATCGTAATATAGTGGCAGCTTACCACAATCTACGGAGTATGCTGTATTGGACAGTACGCTACGTTCGCTGTGAAAAACTCAGTGACAGATCAATTTTTTTTAGTCCTGCCCTGCCCCCATCGCGTTATGCCAATTACGCCTATCGCCTTTGGGGAATGGCACTTCTATCGGCGACATTATGCCCCACTCCGGAGTCAATTATGTGTCGCTGTTTTGAGCGTGTTTGCTGTCACAACTGAGGTGGATTGGCCAATGGCACCACTGTTTGGTAGCGGCCTCACCACTAAATTGCGTTACCGGCGCAGAGAGACGCTACATCGACAACGCATTATGCTATGTGGGAGTGTTTGTATAGGTTAGATTGGATTCTATCGCCAGTCGCGCCACTTAGAGCACAATGAACAAGTGGCTAGTGAGCTGATGTGTGTGGTAGTGGCCCATGCCACGTACATTGCTTTAGTCGACACATACCGTAAGCCATTGGAGAGACATTCACAAAACTTGCCTTTAAGATACAAACTTCTTATTTCACTGAAGGTGCATCAAGCTACGATTCATTTTGAATAGCTTGACCTTGAAGTTTCAAGAGCTTTTGAAATCGTTACGCATCTAAGCAATATGTTTTGAGGATATGTTTATATGTAAGAACTTTGTTCACCAAGTGATCGTTGGGTATCTTTTTACGACTCCACAATGCCGGCAATCTCACATACAGGAAAACATGATAAACTTGCAATAAGAAAAAAGTCATAAATAAGCAAATAAAATAAAATAAAAACAATTCGTATGAAATAAATAGCAACTATTCTAGCAGCCATTTCGGCCGTTTTGTTGTTGTTGTGGGTGATTTGGGGGGCTGGCGCAAAAGAATTTCTTTTTGGTGTGCAAAACGAGTAACTTACTCCATTTATTTATAACGAGGAACGCATATCCTTGACCAGACTTCAGCTGGCCAGCGTCTCTGAAATTGTGTTGACTCCATACACTAATGTCATCGTCTTCCGAAGCATTTCCGTTACAAAGATACACCTCTCTTCATCATCTAACCTCAAGTCTCTTTTCAGAGCCCAGGGTGGAAATCGTCGGAGGTCCCGACTTGTACATCAACAGGGGTAGCAACGCCAACCTCACCTGCGTAATACATGGTGACTACAACGGGCCCAACAACGTCCGCTGGACGCACAACAACAAGGTGAGCTTTCTCGTGTGACACCACTGGAGGAGACGAAATATTTGGGGCTGCTAGAATAGACGCAATAGTAGACGGAAATGAAATAATACTGGGGCAGACAAAATAATCGGCAATCAAGTATGTTGATGCATAGACCTCTGTACAGAGGTGTAGAGAGGTCTATGGTTGATGCCGAGTGAGGTAAAATACACCACCAGTGCCGTGTCCAGTAGCATATTTTCCCCTCATCTTTTTTTCATTTTTTAGCCTTGGTGTGAGTAACTCTTTTTCTCCATTGTCACCTCCTTTTGTTTCCACTCTCCTTCTCTGCCAGTGCCTCTTCTTCCTCTCTCGAGCGATATCCCGAGAGAATACGCTTCTGCGTTCAGTCGACGGTGTGGTGGCCTCGCATTCAATTCTGTTGACTCTTCTCTGCCCCGTTCGCTAATAACAGGCAAACTTTTCATCACCCTCCGAAGGTTTGACAATCACAGACGGCCTTTGCCTGGCAACTAAATTAATTGACGTCGGCCCGGAAATTTGGCTCTGAGTGATCGGGCAAATTTGTCGACTTGCTCATTAGGTGATTATCGAAACAGATTACACCAGGAAGCTTGGGGTCATTTCGATCACAAATATGCCTTCTGTATTTGCTGGTTATTGACAGGCTGTACTATACATATGTTATGACAACACAATGAATATTCTCTTAGGCACATTAACCCTATTAGTGGCAGGCTCCTGGCTACCCCATATTAGTGGCAGGGGGGGGGGGCTGTTTACGACCCCCCTTGATATCTCGAGATCTAACGGGCCGATTTTCAAAATTCAAACGGCATTCGATTTGGCTCAACGAGATCTACATTTCTAAAAAAAATGAAATTAAAAAATGTCAATAGGGGGGTAGAGGGGGGTAAAAAAGGGCAAATTGCAGATACATTTTAGACTGTTTATCACGGCCAGGTTTCTGAACCAATCTTAAGGCAACTTTTGCCGATCGATAGAGAATGAACCAGGAATTCACATGGATCCTAAAAATATGCATTTTCAAAAATCATAGGCGGATACAGATCATTGAGATTGGGGGTACACAAAAAGTATAGTAAATAAGGTTTTTGTTGGTACTGTTTCTAAAAAGGGTGGCAATGGTCTTGTTATGTTACAATTTTCTTATGAGAGAACGACTAAAATTGTATTGGTCATGCATAGGCGGTGTCAGGGCACCTATGTTGGGAGGTAAAAAATAACCCCCCTTTTTGGACGCCTGGATCCGCCTATTATAGCAAAAACGTGTCAAAAGAGGATGCACAATAACTTTGTATATGTTATCACATGATACCTTTCATTCACTGTTCGTAAAACTGGTGCAGCATCGTGATCTTCGCCCAAATGACTCGCTTCACGAATAGGACCCCCCAGTTCCCAGTGCTCTGGAGCCGCCCCTGGTAAAGTTATGAACTTGAAATTTTCAGGGAATGTGCCCAATTTAGTTTTAGGAAAAGTCAGAAAATTTCAGCATCGTAGCTTCAGCGGTTTCGGAGATATTCCCGAAAAACCTGAGGGGTGGATAAAAACACCCCCCTGCCACTAATAGGGTTAAACAATAAATGTGTAAACATGCTGCAACCAATGCTTTTTTTGCATACGTGAGTATCAATCTTGAATTGTCGTCCGTATGTGCGACGTCTCGGTGTATACCGAAGTTCCTACTATTTGTCAGTTATTTACCTAGGTAATTATCTAATTAATTATGCCGCTGTATTGATCACTGATGGGAGAGGGTCCACCATGTGACATTAGATTTCGCCTCCAACAACAACTACAACAACAACAACAACAACAACAACAACAACAACAACAACACAACAGAAGCAGCAAACAACAGCTTTGAACATTGAACAAACAAATAGCATCAATAATGAGCTAACAGATAACGGAGTTGATACGATCAAATGGCGACCAACGATAATGGCGATCAATGAAAATTTAATCAAACGTTAATTGGATTTCGTCCTGACCCAATAATCACTTTCCCTGTCCATAACATGAAAAGACTGATGCAAACCTCATGATATGCATTATGCATGCATGTTGACGAAGTGATAATTTGACGTTTTATAATTCAATGAGTTCCAACGGATTTCGATTGCTCTGAATGATTCGCACTCACTTGTGGTCTGCTATGTAACCCGAACTGTGCGATAATCCGTGACTTAACCTGTAGCCTACCCTACCTGACCTGTTAACTTAACTGTGACCCGAATTGTCGCCTGACCTGTGACCCGACCTGTGCCTACTGTGACCCAGTGCTTGACCTTACAGCTGGTGCAGTTTGACCCGTCTCGGAGCGGAGTCCGGGTCACCACCACCCACAAGGAGGACCGCACCATCAGCTCGTTCAGCATCGAGCGAGCCCTACCCTCCGACTCGGGGGAGTACTTCTGTGACCCGGATGGCCTTCACCAGGTCAAGGTCATCGTGCACGTGCTCATCGGTGAGTGCAGGCATAGGTGGATTTCGAAGACGTTTGCTAGGCTCATGTTTCTGGCACTTTGGTATTTAACTATTGCTGTCACAGAAATAAGCATCATTAGAAAGTGGGGATTTATGCCGCTTTTCCCTATGGATTGTTTCTTTAGCGTAGGACTTACCGCTATTTCAAAACCTCAAGACGATCTGATTCAATACTAGCAGATCAGAACAGACAGCATTCAAAAGTGATCGTAAATGAAAACTGTGTATTTGTTTTGAAGTTGTGAATTGTGATGGTATTGTGTTTGGACATAGTGCCGTGCTAAATAGCATTCCTAATTTGCTCGAGGCCGCTGATCCGCCTAGGAGTAACATTTCCGTATGTCATATGTGATTTATGAACAACGTCGTAACTTGGTTACAGTAGTTATTGGGGAATGAGCAGAGTTGTTTGTCACGCAGAGATACTCTCTGATTAACGCGATATTGGATGAACAACTTTTCCCAATATATCCGGCGGAGTCTGTGGAGTGATTGCGCCAGCAGCTGTTGTTAGGTATCCTTTTATCATGGCTGTGAAAAAACCAGCAAGTATTAAAAAGTCTAATCAATCGCTCACCAAATGATGCTATACGAGATGCTTTCCTGCTTTCATGCCAAGAGCTTCAAACCAACGATCTTGGAAAAAAAAAATCATCTAAAAGGGAAAAATGGAACATGTAACCGTCCTTTAGCCAATCAATGGCGGGTAACAGTATCTTACATTGCTTCTTTGCTTCAATTTAAACACAAGGTAAAAATGTAACTTTACCTACACTGTTACAGCGTACGCAAAACGACTATTCCAAAAGATTCCGCCGAAGACATTAGATAAAATATAGGAGAATGAGATTAGGGTAAGGAGAATAAGACGTGGCTTAAAATGAATATGTGAGCGGTTCTTTTCAAAAGAGAACGGTCGTATGTTCTCGCTGCGATCATCAAACAAAAGGATTTTGGACTCACAGGCACTACTGTCAATGAATAAAGTTCTTCATCCTACCAAGTACCAAACTGCACTTTGACTCTCAGCTGTTAGGCTTCTTATATTTATAGTCCTTTTACAATATTTTCAAGGTGATCCTCACGTGCACAAGAACATATTTTTGGAAACGCCCCGACCTTATACCTTTCACCTGTTTACCGGCGCTATTCATAATCCATTAAATCCAAGTGCGCTGCTCGCCGTACACAGTTACCAAGCCGTCAATATGAATTTAGCCCCGTGCCGCTCTTGGCTACACTAGGGCAATGGATATTCAGTGTGCATTTTGCATCAATAGCCATTGAAAATCAAATCATTCGTCCAAATGCGTGTGCTATGCCAACCTAGCTTTTCCGGCGCGACTGCTGATGAATATTTCCACTCTGGTGCCGGAAACGCTGCTGGCGACTAGCAGACGTTGTTTTCCATCTAAACAAGGCCTAAACTACGCCGCCGCCGCCGCCGCTGCTGCTTCGGAGTTTGGACATTTGACAGTGGGCGGTGGACAGTGGACGGTGGGCCGTGGACAGTGGACGGTGGGCCGTGGACGGTGGATGGTGGGCCGTGGACGGTGGATGGTGGACAAAAGGCCGTGAGTGGTGGACGGTGGATGGTAGGTGGTGGACGGTGGATGAGGGACAGTGGGCATAATGGTTGGTGGACAGTGGACAACGGGCAGTGGACATGTGCAGTGGACAGTGGGCAGTGGACAGCGGACGGTGGACGGTGGACGGTGGACAGTGGACAATTCACAGTGGACCTGTTCACGGCTGTCGGATGGGTGGTTGACTGTGACCTGGTGAATAGTAATCAACTGACAATAAGCTCTGCCAGCCCTGTGACAGAGGTTTCCCGTCGTCGTCATTCGTTCCACGACGTCGAGCCCCCGTCGATGCCGTCTCTCTGACGAATACCGCGGGCACCAGCCGGTATGTCCAGCAGCACCAATCTCAAACTCAGCCGTCCGATTTACATATCAGAATGAATGCAAATCCCTGGGCCAGCGTCCAATACGATCACAGCGAGGGCCAGCCGGCTGGTCGACCGGAGCGGGCCCGACTGGGAACAATAAATCGCCTCCAGACGACCCACGCAAGCGGCGGCACCGACCACTGGGCGCCACTGACCGAATCTATTACCGCAGGCGCTGAGACCGGCGGGGGAGGGGAGGGAGCAGGGCATAAGCGCGATGCCACTCCGCCTCCCGCCGGTGTGATTGTGGCTAATTGAGGCTGGCCCGAGCGGCCGCGGCCGGCCCGGCGCCTCTCCAATCGATGCTCGTTGGCGGCGGACCGCGGGCACAGCAGAACAGAGGAGTTGGGATTCAGGTGGTGGTCCGCAGCCGGGAAATCGCCGGATGATTGGGCTGGGAGCAGTGCGGGGCGGCGGAGGGAGCACCCGGCCGCACGCGCCACCGCGCCGTCCGCCTCCCCGCCGCCCGGCCCGCCGCGCCGGCCGATGGTATTTTCAGAGAGGGAACAGAGCGGCTGAGCCCGGCCCGATTTGCTACGTCGGTATAGTGGCGATTGGATCGCAGAGAAGCCAGGATTGAAGCACTAGCTGCCACTGCTGAAGTGTGCCACAAGTCAGATATTAAGCGTCCGATATGTTTGGTCGCCCAAAGCGAAAACAATCACACCGGAGTTGGATAGAAATCTTAGAAACTGCGGAACTTGGGTGCTGATGGGAGATAAAATGTCTTTTTTATGGACAGCACTCCAAGCTGTAGAACTTTCTTTCCGGTCCCTGTGAATGCAGACACGAGCTTGCTTTTTTTTTTGTTCAAGTGATATTTGGTAAACAACCAGTGATTATGCAATTGTAAGTACGTATTCGGTAAGACGATCGAAGCGTTTTCCCCAATTCAGGTAGGTACTAGGCAGATCCAGGCAGATCATTATCACGATTTTTTAATGAAAAAAAAAACACGCAGACGAACACAGTGAGGTCGCGAGGTCCTGCGACCGATTTCTTTGGTTGGTGACGGTATTTACAGAGATGCGCTTATGGATGTTGAGTTGGGGAAGGTAAGGCGAGAATAGAACTCTGAGTGGCGTTAACTGGCTTCACCACGCGACAAAGCTCGTCACATTATATGAAGCGTTCTTTGTCCGCTGATATGATTCCAAGAATTCAGAAAATTACATATTGAGCCGGCCGTCGGACTGTGATGCTAATTTATCGCCGATCATTTGCATCGGATATCGTTCTGGGAATGGACCATGACAAATCACCACAGTAATTCAGAATCATGCGACTTGATTTGTGAATATCATCGATGTAGGGAACATCTATACCCTCTGTGCATTTATTTTACAAATTATATTTTGCTTCGTTTCCCACCATTATACATACAGCTGATACATATTCTAGTTACCAGATATTTCAAAATAGTTTATTTAAGTTCCACAGCTGCATGACAGCACTTCCATTGGACAATTTCGTATTTTTACTCTTCGAGATGATCAATGCTTGGAAATACTGATGATTTTTCATAGATTTGCCTCCCGGCTTTGATACTCTCATAAGACGATTCCGGTGAGCACGCCGTGAAATCGTTTTCAGCCAATCAAACGCATGAGCAACAATGTGCAACGAATCGTGAAGAACCATCGTTTCTCACCTAAGACGCCACATAAACATTGTACTTTCCATAAGCCTCAAAGTTCCCATATTATGACGGAAATAGTGGCGGGATCATTATTCTATCGAAAGATATGATATGTTGGAGAATGACGTAAAATCATTGGTTGAGAAATCTACAGAGCATCACTGTGAGAAATAATCCATCACTACAGTTTACTTTATTAAATATTCTTGTGAGATGTGAGTGCTGAAAGTCCTCATGCCTTTAGGCATATTTTCTTCGAATTGCAACATCGCCAAGCGCCGTTCGGGATGTCAGTTGAAAAGCCATGGAGTTCAGCGTGCATCTCAAGTGTGGGAAAGATCCGACTCTTCCAAGCATGTCGGTGGCTCTGTAAATCGCTAGACTGATCATCGTAAATCTATCTGATGTGTAAACTTGACTGAAAATGTTTCTTGCAACGTACTAGCTGTACGAGTTTACGTCACAGATCCGGTGACGTCACAGATCCGGTGACCCTGTGACTGATGCCGACATTTACCAGCTTTTCATGAGCCAGCCGAGAGTTGAAGGGCAAACCGAGTGCTCTGACGCACTAGCGCGGGGGCACAAATAATTAATAAAATTACGGCAGCTCTCAGCGCTAACAAGCCGGCCACATAGTTGGCCGTGTCAGCACCAGTGAGCTCCCAGAGGAGCACAAGTCATGGATAATAGCCGACATTAGCGTGGTCTCTTTACATCGCTCCAACACTCTAAAACACGGCGCAGCGCTCCAAGCTACGGATCTGACTCTCTATACTGAGTGACGACGACGTTTAGAGTGAATAGGCATGCATTCGGTTTGGCAGCAGTGGTTCTCGATCCCAATAACCATCGCATGAAGGAGCGGGCTCCATCGAACGACGTCTGTGTATAGCGTTATGGCTCCAAATCTGCCAACTTGACGGTTTAATCGCCTCCAGAAGCACTATCGACCGGTTTGTTTGCCTCCTCGGGAGAGGCCAGTCTCGTCCTTCTTCGATAACTTCTCGTTGGAGGCGCAGGGCCGTCCGGCGTCCGTGATATGGTTCCGATAAGATTACACTTTTTCTGCGGTGTCCGCTGTGCGACCCAGCCTGCACAGAGTGTTGCTGGGCGCTGGACTAATCACTGCCGCCGGCCGACCAGCCTGAAAGACAATTCTTTTGGTCGGCGCATGATTAGCTTTGTCAGCCAGCTCTTCAAAAACATTCATTATTTTTGACCCGATAATGTCATTTGATGGGTAGTGTGCTATTTTCCACGGAAACGTTCTCAATTACTTGGCTTTATTGCAGCGGACGTCATTTTTAATTAAACTGTGATACGAAGGCCCAAATATCTTTGCCAGCTTCACATCAACTTGCTTTACGACTCTGCCACTATCTAATTTTGCATATAATGTAGTTGACAAGTACGGGCTACATCAAGCCTGTCAAATGCACAGACGCGCTTATTGCCATCGCCATGCGCTACCCAATGCCCTTCCCCTATTGACCGAGCTTATGCAACTATCCCACTCTAACGCGACTAATTCAGGCTGACGATACTGTCCCAAGCTGACCCGACTGATCCAAGTTGACCTGGCTGACTCTTGCTGACCCCATTGACCCATGCTGACTCAACTGACCCAGAGTGACCAAAGCTGACCTTACTGACCCAAGATGACCCAAGCTGATCTGACTGAGCCAGGCTTACCCGACTGACCCTACTGACCTTGACTGACCTGTTACCTCTCTCCGTTTCAGATGACCACCCAGCAGCGATGCAGACCAGCGGTCAGATCGGTCTCAGCCAATCAGCTGCCGCCTCCCTGCTGCTGCTGCTGAGTGGAACAGCACTGCTGCTGGGCCGCGGCTAGTGTCGGCTGGGCCGCACAGCAGGCCACCGCCATTGCCCAGCGCTCGACTGATCACTGCTGGCCACCAGAGAGCCGACGGGATCCCAGAAGCATCAGGTGACAGGAGTGACCACCACCGCACCGAGTCTACAGGTGGGCATCTCAAACTCCACAACCTAAAAATGGAGTGTGTTCACATCCCCTGGACACGCGAGGTGTCGCAAATACTCTGATTCTCGGTGGGGTTGAGCCGCGACCGGCCGATCGGCTCGCCGGGGCGCGGGCGGAGCCAGAGACGGATGGATGGTGGGAACTGGGAAGTGGGCGGCTAGTGGTCCGCCGCCGCCGGCAGGGGGTCGGTAATCGCCCGGCTCGGACGGTCGGACGGCTGACAGCGACGGATGAGATCCGGAGCCCAGCGGCTCTGAGGGGGTATGTGAGGGGGGGGGAAGCGGATTGGTGTGATGGTGTAAGTGTGACACTATGACAGCGCCGTGTGATGAGATGACAGTGAATTATCACGCTCCTCGGAGCCGGCTGATGCCGGAGCGATCGTCAGCGGCGCGGACGAGCGAGCGCCGCTCTCGAGACGGGGTCGATACGGGACGATCGGGAAGGCGGTGACCGGCTCTACAGGTCCGGTGGCGTGCGTCTCCCGTCATGTGAGCCCGAGTGGAACTAAATGTGACACCTGTCGCCACGCCCTGTCACCGGACCACAAAACTCCGGTCTTGGACCCATCGGACCGATCTCGGATCCGATCTTGGATCCGATCTTGGATCCGGTCTCGGACCCAGCGGCAAACGCCGGCGCGCCTCAGCGCCCAGTCTTTCATGCCTTCACTGGCTCCGTTACCTGGCGTCTGCAGTGTTTCGGGCGCCGCTCGCTGGATCGGGGGCTGGTGTGGGTCCTCTCAGCGGCCTGGTGTGGCGCTGTGCCGAGCGCCAGTGAGCCGCACATCGGAAATGTGGTGTGATTTGTGGGAAATGTGTTGCGAAGTGTGCACTGTGTAATGTGTATGAGTGACTGAATTCGGCGCTGAGCTCGCGCACATGTACAGTTTGACGTTGGACGATGGTTTGTATTCCATGACTTGGTGTTAATTCTCAGTGTTTGCCTCAGGTGGTTTTATTTGTGTTTATTCCTGCCAAGCCACCGACAGTCTGGTTTGTATGGGCGCACAATGTTGGAGGCATAAAAGGACGTAAGATTATTGAGTGTTAATTGTTTGTTGTTCAGCCGCAATAAGTTCTTGACATTAAAGATAGGAGGTGTTTTATAAGCACCCGTCTAGTTTGGCTATTGCATGTTTTATTGAAGACTACCGAACAAAGTCTACGTAATATAATATTGAACCGTCATATGTTTCACATCCGGTCATAAGTAATTTCTGTATTCACTTACCCACATCATTAGACGAAATTAGGGAGTAGACAAAAAGCAGCTTCATACAAGCGTTTGATGTGATGTTTTTATGTTGTACTGGATCGTTATCAACAATAAACGAAACGAACGACGCTGACAGCTCCGACTGTTTGATTATTTAAAAAGCGGTGTAGTGCTGTACGGTCCTAAATGTCATGAAACATCAGGGAGGTAATTTACTCCCTAGGTTATTTACATGTCCTGCTTCAGCTAGAGATCCAATATTGGTCAAATTAGTTTAAAGGAGACCGTATTGCTTAGAACATGATAACTAGTATCATATTTTCAGCTGATGAATCTCGAGATCAGATTTATTTATCACCATGCAAGCGGACACATTTACTTTTAGTTTATACGGCAATACCATAGGCTGTGTTAGTCATAAAACTGAATTTTTGTGAACTTGACGATGGACGAAAATACATGAAAAGATGAAGATATAATGTAAAACTAATCTACTTCAGTTTACAATTAGTGAAAAAATGGGAAAAGCCGTACGTAAATTTGGATCACCCATGCCGACAGTTTTTTTTAAGGTTGTACAAAATAAAACGTTTTGGACAATCATTAATGTGTCAGCAGCTCCAGAATCGTCAGAAAATTTGAATCCTTTCAGGCTAATATGAATTTTACACCTTCATGCTAAACTGGACATCCTCCTCGAATAAGGATGAGTTATATAGACTATTCTGTTCACCAGTCGCAAATCAAATGCCAGGCTTTGTTGTTCTTCAGTGAGTGTATAGGTGACGAGTAGGTGCCGTGTTGTGTGAAATATGTGCTTGCCTACTACGTGTAAATTGTTGATGCGCGTGTGGTCATTCATGAAATGAGCCCCATGCCGCTTCTGAATGAAGAATCTACGGACTTCGGTGTATTATTGCGAATTCGAGATGGACTATGATTATCGCATTTGCTGGAAATGTGGGCTTAACTGCAGTGACGAATGTTCTTTCGTTTCTTTTTTTCTGTATTGTATATTCGTTGAAATTCCATGTGTAAACATGATTAAATCCGTATGCTTGGAATATCACTACCGAAAGTCAGATATCAAATAGAAAATTAGTTTTGATTGATAAGAAAACTTCAGTTGAGCTGGGTACCATTATTCTGTATTGGTACACCTACACTAATCTGACTTTCTTTTCAATTGTTTGTTAACACTTCTGTCCTGTGTGTATAGGAAATGAAGTGGTTCTACGCTTAAAACATCTAAGATCATCCGAGTTTTGATTGAAATATCATGCAGCGTTTATCCCATGGTACCGAATAGGCCCATTCATCTGCAAAAACCGAAAATTTAGAAACAAATCAGGAACGAGCCAGTCCTCAAATTTATGTCAAATTTATGCTCATACACGATTGCTTGCTATAAGAAAAATATCCATAATGGTTTTGAGCACTGTTTTGAGAGACTTTATGAAGAAGAGGTACAACTTTCCTCTTATATCAGCCGAAAAGATAAAAATTAATAAAAAGTTGAAATAAAGTATCGGGAATTTTCGGCTTTGCGTATTGATCAGCTGTCATGTACATACATATTATTCTGTAAGAAAAATGAATCGATAAGAAAAATGATAGAATCTACAAATACCTCTTGTTCTGAGTAGCAGTTGTGGCTCTCTAACGCAACTCTATAACAAGACGAACAATGCTCATTCAAACCAAAACCAACCATTCTTATTCACAAACAAGGCGTAAATCTGCGACTGCCAGTGTGCCTGCCAAACAATGGCGTGTCACCAAAACCGATCAAGAGGAAACGAATGATCATATTCTTTGTAAAAAAACTTGTTTTCCTCAAGCACCACAACAGCGCCATTCGCTCAATCGGCTTTCCTGTCGTGTCGATAACGCATTCAATCATAGCTACGAGCTACATAGACGCACGTTCACAACATACAGGTCAGAACAGGCCTCAAACGCCTGCGAATCGCACATTGCACAAGCGCTGCGCGCCGGGCATCGAATAATGAGACATGACGACATTCTGTCAGAGTGAAAAGACACCGATATGCACCGCAGTTCAGCCGCACCGCAAATCCAGACCGGCCGCAGACTTGAGTTAAGTTGGCGCAAACTTTGTGGTTCAGTGGCAGTTGGTGGAAAGGTGAGGCCTTTTGGGGCAATTTACCGTCGCCTATGACTGCCGTCGACTAACTTAGTCTCGTATTCCTGGGAGCGGTGAGAACTTTAACTTGTCCGGAGCACGTGCGCATGCTGAAACAATTGCAAATGACTTGCCGTGTCCGAGTTCAGTTAATACCACGTACCCCGACAGGAGTTGAATAGGGCTGGCTTTTTCTGTCAAGATCTGGCAGCATCGTAAGAAGAAGCTGTCAGGTCCCGCTTGTCAGGTCGCTTACAGAATCTATTTCGGATGAATGAATCTTGTACCGAGTGACATGCTGAGAGAAGTGGTGTGCCTAATGAGTAATGATTTGCATTTCAAGAGCATGTCTGTGCAATGATGTTGAATGTCACAAAACAACAATAACTTATCGTAACAATCTTGTGTTTGGCTATCGACAAGGCTAAATTGGAACATAATCGATTCGGCCAGCCAGCCGGCCGGCAACAGCCCCAGTGCTGGCAGTGCGGTGTCTCAAATTTCGAGCGCTCCTACAGTCCCTTTGGGGCACGGTCCATCTCAGATTTCCGAAACCGTATTCAATGCAAAGGTCAGCCCTCGTGCAGCGGGATGGCTGCTTCTGCGAACCCCGGTCGGTGGTTCTGGTGGCTCTCCGCACCGGGGCTCAGCATCACTGCCGCACAGAATGCATGCATTGCTGAGCTGGTGGCGGTCGGCCGGCAGCCAGACTGACTATTATGCACACGTTTGGGGAGCATCCCTGTTGGCCAACAGAGCAGCCGACACGGAGCTTCCTGTCTCGCTCCCCTGGCCAAGCAACACGACCCCGGTGCCAGCCGCGCGAGCCGAATAGCTGAATATTGAATGCTCGCGGGATGGATGTCTCCATCAGCAAAACGGGGCTCGGATCAATCTGGCCGCGCAAAGGTCGCCGGTCGTGGTCGATGTATGCTGGCGGTGTAGGGAATGGAGACGGAGAAACAGGGAGAGAGAGAGAGAGAGAGAGAGAGAGAGAGAGAGAGAGAGAGAGAGAGAGAGAGAGAGAGAGAGAGAGAGAGAGAGAGAGAGAGAGAGAGAGAGAGAGAGAGAGAGAGAGAGAGAGAGAGAGAGAGAGAGAGAGAGAGAAGAGAGAGAGAGAGAGAGAGAGAGAGAGAGAGAGAGAGAGAGAGAGAGAGAGAGAGAGAGAGAGAGAGAGAGAGAGAGAGAGAGAGAGAGAGAGAGAGAGAGAGAGAGAGAGAGAGAGAGAGAGAGAGAGAGAGAGAGAGAGAGAGAGAGAGAGAGAGAGAGAGAGAGAGAGAGAGAGAGAGAGAGATCGTTTTGATATTGTCGAAATATTTCATAACAAAATGAGTGCGACTGCATTTTATGCGGGGCCTGAAAACCTCATGTCTTAACCCTATTAGTGGCAGGGGGGGGGGTTGTTTTCATCCACCCTTCAGGTTTTTCGGGAATATCTCCGAAACCGCTGAAGCTACGATGCTGAAATTTTCTGACTTTTCCTAAAACTAAATTGGGCACATTCCCTGAAAATTTCAAGTTCATAACTTTGCCAGGGGCGGCTCCAGAGCACTGGGAATTGGGGGGTCCTATTCGTGACGCGAGTCATTTGGGCGAAGATCACGATGCTGATGTATTATAACTGTATGCACCAGTTTTACGAACAGTGAATGAAAGGTATCATGTGATAACATAGAACAAAGTTATTGTGCATCCTCTTTTGACACGTTTTTGCTATAATAGGCGGATCCAGGCGTCCAAAAAGGGGGGTTATGTTTTACCTCCCAACATAGGTGCCCTGACACCGCCAATGCATGACCAATACAATTGTAGTCGTTCTCTCATAAGAAAATTGTAACATAACAAGACCATTACCACCCCTTTTAGAAACAGTACCAACAAAAACCTTATATACTATACTTTTTGTGTACTCCCAATCTCAATGATCTGTATCCGCCTATGATTTTTGAAAATGCATATTTTTAGGATCCATGTGAATTCCTGGTTCATTCTCTATCGATCGGCAAAAGTTGCGTTAAAGGGACCCTCCCACCTTCAAAAAAGTTTATGAATTGGCATGAAAGTGATGTCGCACGGTTCAGAAAGAGCGAAAACGAATATCTATCAAATTTCACCGAAAAATATTCACCGGTTTTCAAGATATTAGACTTTTACTTTTGTTTACTTTTTTGGGATCTCCGCTGTTTCTAGCGACTTTATTTTAGAATTGCGGCGTTTGCGGCAGATGTTGCGCGCAAATAGCATATACCACCGCGTGCTACAAAACGTTTTAGTCAAACATTTAAAAATCGTTAGATATTTGCGCTGACGTCACACATTCAGAGGGGTATTCCTAAGCATTAGCCCCTCTGAATCAAAATGCTGCAATTTTGAAATTCAATATTTCCGATTTAGGGCATTTCTCGATGTTGTGAGTGCCGAAACCGGTAATTGTGAGCCAGGGACCCCATTTTGGCTATCTCAACTCAAATCTAATGTTAAGGTGGGAGGGTCCCTTTAAGATAAGTTCAGAAACCTGGCCGTGATAAACAGTCTAAAATGTATCTACAATTTGCCCCTTTTTACCCCCCTCTACCCCCCTATTGACATTTTTTTTTAAGAAATGTAGATCACGTTGAGCGAAATCGAATGCCGTTTGAATTTTGAAAATCGGCCCATAGATCTCGAGATATCAGGGGGGTCGTAAACAGCCCCCCTGCCACCAATAGGGGTAGCTAGGAGCCTGCCACTAATTAGGGTTAAGTTAACACAAGCAGTAGGTAAACTGAAAACACAAGTGTTGAAAAGTTGAAAAGGCCTTTGCAGCGCTCACGCCGGGTCTATAAGACTCCTGAATTTTGTTGAAAAATGTGCTTAAATTAAACCTCAAGAAATGTCTTCCTCTTTAATTCTTTTTCAATACGCTGCACTTTTACCAATTGACTGGCGCTTTCCTTTGCGCCTACTACTTTCGACGAAAGCGGAGGGTGATGACAATTCGCATCTGAGGGGAACTGTTTGAAGTTAAATAAAATCA